TTTGGTTTACTGCACAATTATGCACATGGAACTGTGAAGCACAGTTGTTGGGCAGCACAAAAGTGCAATCTGATATTCCTGTGAGGGACTGTTGGTGCAGTGCACAACACCAACACAGCTGTGCTTCTTTGAGGTGTTTACCAAGTGACCCAAAGAGTGACTTCTGCATAGAAGGGTTAATAGCCTCGTGCTTTTATGAGTTTATTGCCTCATCTAGGAAAATGTTTTATCAAGAAAGATCATGACATTTGTATGCCTTTATTGGCCAGGTTTTTATACCTTCCTCTGATCTGTGCGGAGCGTTGCTGGGCCTACATGATGCAATTGAAGCAGGAATCCAACACGGAGCCCAGGAAGAGGTTCCATCTCATGGCTAGGCTACTGAAGGCTGTGCGCTATGCCGAAGAGCTGGAGACGCTGTCACAGAGTGACAAATGCGACGCTAGGTCCAAGCTGGAAGCCCAGGTAAGGGAAAAACTGGATGTGGTAACAAAAGCAAATGTGGGAGTCTGGTTGAAGTGGTGGTAGTTTTGTTGCTTTCCACCTCTACAACCTGGGGTTCGAATCTCATCTAGGCTGGTGTGTAGACTGGTTTTTCGGGCCCTACCCTATGTTGTGGATTTTCCTTGGATTAATCGTTTTGGGTTTTCTATCCATCTCTAAAACTGAACACGTCTTCAGTGTTGTCTTCTTAGTTTCCTATTATCATCTGTGCATGCTCTGTTAGATGAAAGGTAAAATAAAAAAAAAAATTATGAAAGACACTATAAAGGGAAACTGACTAAGTTCGGGCACTGGTACGGTATTCCAGAGGTCGCAGGTTCAAATCCCGCTCCAGTCAATTTCTTTGTTCATCTTTATAATCATTAAAAAAAGGAAAAGAATAGAATTGAAAGTTCAGTTTGTTGGAGTTGTAATGAGATATTTCTTTTGATGATCCTGAAAATGAATAGTAGAAGAAAAATCCAAAGCTCCTTTTTCCCGTTGAGCAAGACTTTGGAAGGGGTCTTTATTCACGAGACACTGTGGCCACCTGTAACCTGTTTTGTTAGGTTTGGTCAAGGATGGTGTATTGTCATTGAAAGCACAATGCTTCTGGATGAGGCTTTATTTTGAAAGGCCCACCACCAGCTTCATTAGCGTAGAAAAATCTTGTAAAAGGCCAATCCACTGTGGAAAATGGTGGAGGAAATGAAAGTTGAAGGTAGAGCAGCTGAAGGTTGAGCAGCCGTTGGATTTATCTCTTCTATTGAAATGAAAGTGATGAGACCCAGTTCAGATTTGGTATTTCTCTTCCTTCAGGCCTACTGTGCATGGATGAAGGGAACGTTGTACTTTGAGAAGGAACAATGGGAGGAATGCATCAAAATGTTCAGCACGGCTCAGTAAGTCTCCCCTTGAGAATGTCTCTCTTAGAAATTCCCTCTCTCATGTTTCATGTTATTCCAATCCGCTGTTTTACTCTCTGCTCTTCCCATACACGTGATGTGCCCAAAGAAATAGACTGAGGACAGATCAATATTCGTCGGAGAGGTTATTGTGAATGTGATTTTGTGCCCTCACAGCACATATGAAGAAGTTAGATTCATCTCAACCTTGGTAAAATTTGCCAAAATTAGTAATGACTTCGAATTTGGCCTCAGGCTCATTAAAAACATCAAACTGACAGCATAGAATTTCACACATACAAAGCAGATTTGTCAACTTTCACCAAACTTTGGCTGCCTCCCCCTATTTTTTAACAGGAACATTTATGAGAAGCTAGCTAGCACCTTCAGTGAGGACCAACGGCTGCTCTACCTTCAGCGTGTGGAAGAGATCACCCCCAGCATCCGTTACTGCGCGTACAACATTGGGGACCAGACTGCCATCAAGGACCTGGTACAGCTGAGGCTCAAGTCTGGTGGCATGATGTCTTCCAATATCGATGTGAGTCAAATGAAATCTGCTTCAAATATCACTGTATTTTAACTCGGACTCCTTAGCCACTCTCTGATAAACTTTTCTGAGTCCTGTACATGCAACCACTTGACTAGAGTCCCATGTGACATAATTTTTCATCCCAATTTGCAGGTAGTATCATGCCTGTGTGTGGTAGCTGAACATGTTGTACGTTGCCATCAAAACCTGAAAATGGTCCAAACTTGTAGATGAGTCTTGCAGTATCAGAGAGAACTAAGGTTAATGTGTGAAATGTGGGAAGAGGGTTTAAAAATGAGCCCCTGTTGCCCTAGAGAGAAGGACATTACATCTTGGAGTGTGAGAGCTATAAAGGCTGCTTTTTGTTTGTACTTGGATTCATTTATACACAGAGCCTTTTAGCACAGACAAGAGAGAAGCAGGCACTAACGCTCAGTGAAGTGACTTGGAGAGGACGACTTGTGCCTGTCAAAAACGAACAGGTCAGTTTTCAGCTTGCTGCTGCCACTACGTCCAACTTGGCTTAAATGGGACTCCTGATAGATCTAACAGAGTACAGCGCAGTGCAATAGTATTCATAGTTGACACATTGTGCTCTGGATGAAGACCACCCCTGCCACCAAAGAGTTCGACAGTGTGCCGTGCTGCACATATTGACTGCTAATCCCACAATACACGATAGCTATACAATTTAAAAGGATTAGGGCTAACAGGTGTTGAATTTCATTGGAAAAATCTACAAGACAACACAGCTAGTACATAGACAGCATTTTGCAAGTTTTGAAATTGGTCTTATTCCAAACGTAGAGATGAATTGCTTAGGATTAGTTTATGTAAAGTTTTGCAGATTACTCAGGGTGAGTTTTTTTCCTTTGAGAAACAATAAGTTTCCATGTTTTGCATGGAGTAGAGCACAGTAGTCTTGTGAGCAATCAACTCTGCATATCCGGTTTGTCTCTTTGTTGATCTATTTGATTCTGTCTGATGTCTCAACGAGCAGGTGCGAGCATTTCTACTGAGTTGTGAGGAGAACGAGAAGCAGTTGAAGAGTTCCAGCGATCCTGAAAGTCAGATGTCTATCTATGAGAGTCTACTCATGGAGTGTAAGGATGCCCTACAGATACTCAGGGATGAGATCAAGGCTGACCCTGTAAGTTAACCTGTGACCCAGTGTTCTGCCAACTCCGGGCTTTTTCCCGCTTTTCTGAACATGTTTGATGCCACCTGGGAAACTTTGTTGCGATTTGGAAAACCTTTTACAAGGTGCTATGTACAAATATTGACAGCTTTGTGTTTTATAGCAAAGACGGCTTGTTGATGGTTGATACACTTCTTTTCATTTCCTCCCCCGGCCAATTTTTGTCCCAAGATGTATGTCAATAAGTTGTAAACCCAAACACCCTGGGCATTTGCCAGGAAATCTCTGAGCTGCTCAAAAATCCACCAGTGTTTTAAAATTAATGACACATTGATCGTATCTCAACTTTGAGAGTACATCAAATCTTGGGTAAAGCAGGGATGTGATTTATCTGGTTTTCTCCTCCTTCAAGGATTTTTCAAACAATCTCTTTTAAAATCTAGCAAATCCAAATTTGACCATTGTGGTGTTTTTACAAATAAAAATTGATCAAGAACAGAAGAAATTGGTATTGAAAGCGGTGCCTTTAGGCAAGTGCAAATGTACACCCTCAACCCAAAGCTACTGTCGTGCCCTCAAAACCTCTGGTGATTATGTCGTGGATATGAAACTGCCCTCCAGTGCCATCCCTGGTAAAGCAAAAGGGCTGGTCTCGGCTTCTTTAATCCCACAAAGTTTTCAAAACATCTTGATGGATATTCCACCATCATTGGACTCACTTTTTATATTTGCTGTTTCCCACATGACACAGGCTGTGAAACAGCGGGCCCATAAATCCGACGGCCCCATCCCTAGCTCCCAGTATCTCTACACATACCTCATGTACATTCGCTTGACCAAGACAATAGAACGCAACATGCTCATGGTAGAAACGTTGAAGGAGAACCTGCCAGAGGCCGGCATGGCAGTGGCAGGGCCCACAACACAAGGCAGTACCAACAATAAGAAAGTCACCAAGCCACAGGATCTCATCAGAATATACGACACTATATTGCAGGTCAGTTTTGTGTTGATCAATAGCAGGAATCATTTGTTTTGCATTAGTTTATGTTTTTGAATTGCATGTTGGGCACATGGTCAATTTTCACCAGAATGTGCACAGAGTGAGGCAGGAAAACACACCGATTCTCTCAGTTGCCTGTTATTAACAGTAGTATTTTGCATTTTTAACCACTTACAGAAATTTTGATTTCATGTATGTTCGAAGGGATGCAACAAATTTGTTGCTTTACATAATATTTTAGAATGAACCTTCTCATGATCTGTAGTTTTTGTTTTTGTTCTTGCCATTCAGAACCTTGCTGAAATCCCCCAGCTTGCTGGACTGGAGGATGATGACAACCTTCAGCAGGAAATCAAAGCCAAATCATTGAAATTCAAGGCATTTAGGTCAGTGCAAAACATTATTTATAACCCCAAGACCTTTAGTATCAAAACCTTAGCAGTCTAAATGAGAAGCCTGCCCAATTTATCTTATCTACATAGGTTAAGTATCCCCAGACCCAGAATATGAAAGCTTAAATTACCATCCGTGTTACCACATTACTGAGTAATTTATCGTTGAAACAGAGAAACATACAGTGGATAACACTGATTGCAAAGATAAATTATCCCCGAAACACAGAATTCAACACTAACTCTTTCTGAAAACACTAATTTCAATGATAACATATCTCTGAAATGCAAACTTCAAAGATAACGCATCTTGGAAACTTGGAATTCAACAAGAACGTATTTTGGAAATCCGGAAATCAATGGGGATGAAACTCTAAATTCAAAGATAATGCATCTACGAAACTCAGAATTGAATGAGAAAGTTTTTCTGAAACATAGACCGCAGTGATAAACATTCGAATGGTACATGGGTGTGCATGGCATCTTTAGGGTAGCTCCGAAGAGGTGTCATACCAGCACACTTCAGACAAAAGTGCGGATTAGGGGGTCCAACGGGGGCATGCCCCCCGCCAAAAGTCTGGACTTTTAAAATCAAAATGAAGATATTAAGTGTCTGAAATGGAGGATAATTGTTTGGTCTGGACAGAGACATTTTGCTCAGGAAACTGTGTCTGAGCAGCTGCTTTTTAACCCTAACACTCCTCAGTCCTCCAACAGGTGAAGGATTGAGGAGGGTTAGGGATGAAGGTTACATTGTGGCCGGGGCAAACAGTCAGTACAAAAGTACACCAGGAAAGCTGCATGCTGGTTTTGCCTCCCCCCCCAAAAAAAAGCATTTAGGTCTGGAAGTGGCCTTGTCCAGACCTACTGCAATTCATCTTGTTCCCATTCCGATTTTAACCGTTTACATAATACGTAATACATGTACATTAGCATTGAATTCTGGATTTCCGAGTCACATTATCGTTAAATTTCATTTATGATGCCATGTTTCCAAGATACGTTACCTGTGAATTCAACATTTCAGAGGTATATTATCACTGAAATCAGTGTTTCCACAAAGCGTAACCGCTGAATTCTGTTTTTCATTGATAATTTATTTTTGCAATTAGTGTTATCCAGTGTGTGTTTCTCTGTATCAATGATAAATTAACTCAGTAACGCGGTAAAGATGGTCATTTAAGCTTTTGTATCAGAAGCCTCAAGAGTCCGAGTCTGCCAACCACCACAAGATCCAACAGTGACCATCCATTGGCAACATTATGCTGTTGCAGTGAACTGCACAGTGCAACAAGGTCCTACGGATCTGCGCCCCTGCTGTGCCTTGTTGCATTCAGCAGGGTTAAGGCGCCTTTCCATATGCACGTTTTTGGGTTTACTTGGGTCTAGTAGAGGGTACCAGATGTCACTGAGCTCGAAAGCGATGTCTTGGGGTACGATGTTGTCCTGGGAAGTCTTGATGGCTTCTCGGATTCTTCTCGGGAGCCAGTTCTGGATGAGGGCGATGAGTTCTGCTTTGTCCCATTCGATGCGGTGGTCCGTGGAGTGTGCGTGCTTGACGATGGCCGACTTGTCGTATTCTCCTCTTCAGCCTTACGCGCAGAGCTCTTGGAGTCTGGTGGTTAGGTTCCTGCCGGTTTCTCTTATGTATACTAGCCACGTTCACATGCAATGCAATGTACGCCGGGGCAGCTGCTGGGTTGGTGCTTGTCTTTGTGGGTGTGAAGTGCAGCCTGCAGCTTGTTGGGTGCTGAATGATGTACTTTGATGTTGGCAGACTGTAGGATGCTCTGGAGTTGTTGGGAGATGGGGCCCAGGTACGGTAGACATACTGTGGCAGTGGGGGGTTGGGGGGCTTTGGGTATAGGTGACCCTAATGCTGTGGGGGAGATGGGGACTTTGGGTATAGGAGACGGTAGCTTCCTTGGAGAGAGCTTGGAAAGTTGATGTGCTGGTTGTGGTAGCCGTTCATCTTGGAGGGTGGACTTGATATGCTGGAGTTCTTGGTGTAGATTGTTCTGGTCGCAGATCTCGTAAGCTCTGCGGACAAGGGTGCGGTTGACTGAGGTCTTGATGGCTGGGTGGTGGAAAGATCTCTGGTGCAGGTACCAGTCGGTGTGGGTAGGCTTGTGGTGGACACAGTGGTTGAGGGTTGAGGTTTCTGGACAGGTGGACATCTAAGGAGGAGAGGTGTCTGTCTTGTTCTTGTTCCATTGTGAACTTGATAGTAGGATGTTGCTGGTTGAGGTACTCAAGGAATTCGTGGAGGTGATCTTGACCATGGTGCCATATGACGAATGTGTTGTCAAGAACGAATGTGTCATCAAGTTGTTAAGAACCACAGCTCACCCCAAAGAGATTTATTCCATGGTGTACCACAAACCTGTTTCTTATGTCTCTTCCACCATGCAAAGCTTCAAATCTAATACTTAGCAATTCTGCAGATGTATACAATGACATTGGGAAATTACTCAGAGAGAAGATAACTTATTTCAAAATGTCAAGTGAACCTCATTAGGAATAAACAAGATACCCTTGTTGGTTGAGCAAAGTACTTAAGTATGCCAGGAATTAAACATGGGACCCCCGCAACCCCTGGAAGGAATCTTGTTGCAGGAGTTGTTTAATTTAAGCTGTTTACTTGTTTAATGTTTACCTCTACTCCTACTAGGTGTTTCTATTTGGCCCAGTCTTACACTGCCTCCAAGAAGTGGCGTGAAGCCTCAGCCCTGTATGAGAGGGTCTTAAAACACATTGAGACTGCCAATAAGGAATTCAAGAGAGTCAAAGGCAAAACAAAGGTATTGTGTCTCTCTCAGGCTACCTGATGGAGTGGATATCTGTTTATTCCGCTGTGAGACCGGCATTGCCATTATCAGTGCAGCTTTACTGTTAAATGCAGTTTTTGAAATCATAGGAACGGATTTGTATGAGTTGTGACTTGGTTAAGTCCAATTCAAGTAATACTTTACCAGCTTGGACTCATTGTCATGGTCATAAACAAGATTTGAGCGGTCAGATTTAAACTGTAGTTCGTTTATTGCTAAATGGCAAAATCAATTTTCTCTTCAGTTTTGTAGACAGTTGTTATACCATTTTAGATTTTGAACGTCAAACTTTTGTTGAACATGTGAATGTAGAATGAATTGGCGGAGCTGAAGCATTTAACTCAGAAGGTGAATGGTTTGAAGTACTCAGCTCATGCATTGTCAATTCTTGGTGAGTACATTCCTTCATTGCACTTGGAGGTTTCAAGATAAAAAAATACATCCATTTGTGATCTGTGGGTGTTTTCAGTTTTTTGGAAGTTAGATTTAATTTTGAGGAATGTATCATTTTATTTAATTTTCCACTTTCTTTTTGTCAAATCTTCCACAATTTGCTAAAATACTTCAAGAAATCAATGATACATTCTTTGCACTTGAATCTGTTTTGGGCATCATGCCCAGTACAAGATGATAGTAGCTAGGATCTACCTTCCTCAATCTTGTGAAATCCTCACAAATCTGGTAGGTTCTAGAAGCCAGTGGTTATTCTTAGATATGCTATTCCTGTTCTACCAGTGATCTCCATTCTGGGGGTAGTGCTTATATCTTGGGATGAAAGTTGTTCATCCCAGTTGTTGAGGGGTCATCATGCAGATCATTAAATGTATCAGAAAAGGGAGATCTTTCTTAGCTCTAATTGTGTTAAAAGTTTGGTTGCCAAACAAACTGATAAAATGTGTATACCAGCTGCTATATTTAGCCTTCTGTTGGCAACTGTTACTGTTGTTGACGTGTGAGCAGAGACCAAATCAAAATCACAGTGTCGGTAAACTGGTAATTGAAGATTGTTTACAGAGCAACAAAGTTTGAAACTACATGTTCACTTCCATTCGTTCCACTCAGACTCCGAAGAAATCACGGAAGGCGTAGCACAGCTGGAGGTCACCAAGGACAAGCGAGCGGTCAGTGAGCGGCTGCACAAGTACCAGGATGGCCCCGAGCTGGCCACTGGCAAGCCCAACCTGGTGCCCTTCCCACCCGACTTCCAGCCCATTCCCTGTAAGCCTTTGTTCTTCGACATCGCTCTCAACCAGGTTGAGCTGCCATCCCTGGAGGACAAACTGGAGCAGAAACCAGCAGCTGGAGGGATAACAGGATTCTTGAAAGGATGGTGGGGTGGTGGGAAGAAATGAAAACAAAACCTACAAAATAAAAGGATTCTTCTAGATTTAAATCAAGCCTAGTGACCATTGTAACCAAACTGCTAATTTAAAACTGCTAAAAAACATCTATGTGACAGGGTCTGGTTCCAATAAGCTGGTGCCAAGTAGGCAATATTTCTAAGCAGAAATATGCATTAAGCAAACATTACGACAGGCAGTGTACCCTGTATGGCATGCTGAAGGATAACTCGTCGTTGGTACCTTCCTTGGCAGCTGAATGCAACCAGGCCGTGATCCTACCATTTAAAGTATTTCTTAAATAGAATTGGTTCCCCATTTTGAAGTGAATCCACCAGACATGTATAGAATTTCCTACTCTCAAATTCGGCATTGTACTAGCTATAGTTATGCTCATCAAAGGATTATCCCTCCTGCCGTCTCCTTCAAAAGTCCATTCGCTATGCAGGAACGATGGAATAGCAAGAATAAAGGTAAAAACCAGCTCTGGCAACTTGATGTTAATTGATAACTTTATTTTTCCTAGTCATTATGATAAACAGCACACAAGCAGAGATAGTAAAATACATGCAGATGTTTTGCATGACAGCCATCTTGGAGGTACACCCAAGGAATACAGGAGAAGGAAGGAATAGGCACAGGTATATCTATGCATTCAGTGTTACTGAAGTAACCCTCCTGTGCAAAAATACATTCTTGATACAGTTGTCATATCCGTCAAAATCAGTCAAATTCCCCATATGTCTGTGTACAGGGGCAAATCAAGTAGAAGGAATTTTTGACTTGTTTTTGACAGTTGCAGCAAGAGGGCTAATGCATCAGAAACAGTCTTCAAGATGGCCGTCACATGCAAACGGTCTACCCTATTTTCCATGTTTCAGAGTACAATGTATTTTGAGAAGCTATGCAAACTCAAGAAAGTCATTCTGTGGAAGTAACAAATTAATCATGATACATCTCTATAAGTTTGTCTTGCCTACACATGATGGGCTGCATGTGCTTTTGCATATTTTTCAGAGTTTACAGCGATTACCTTCAGGAAATAATGCTGCTTGCACATGTTCAACATTATTTTGGTTTTCTTCAGTCAAAATATGACATGATCACAATCTCTTTGGGGCAAAAAAGAAGACAATACAATTTCCCAACCTTGTGGATTTCTTTCTCCTTTTAAATATCATTTCTTCAAACTATTTAAAATGTTACTAAATATTAATTTTACCACAATGTAAAAAATAAGGAATCTTATGCCGAAGATTTTTCTCCTTTCATGATCGTTGGGTTGAATTACAAAAAAAATTCTTATCAATTCTGATATGAATTCCTTTTAATCTTTTTTTTCTTTTCCCTGTTAGTCCAAAAGAAATTAAAACAATTATACAACTGTGAAAACTCAAATAAAACAAGTCAAGAAACAAGGATTTTAGCTTGGAATGTTTTGCTCAGAGTGATTTTCCTAATGAAACCATTTCAGTTTTCCAAATGATCTTTTCTATAAGCACAATTCTTCAGTTTTCATCCTATGGCAATATTACATAATATGTCATCTATATAAATTGAAAAAAATCACGAATAAGATTTAGAACTAAAAATCAGCTGACAGACAATCCTTCTTGAAGGATATCATATTTAAAACAAACTAGAATTTATGTCCTATCTTTGCAAAACAGAATTGGGTTAAATTACTGAATGGACAGTATTTGGGCTCCTTTAGATGCAGCTGTCACATAAAATGTTGCTGTTCCGGAGTACTTCTCCTGAAAGAAACGATTAAAAATGTCAATGTTAGCAAATTTTGCAAACTAATGTGAAGATTAGTTGCACTTACTCTACATTGTAAGCAGATGAACCAATGAGGAGACATAGGGTGTGGCTTGACTGGACATCATTGCTAGGTAACCAAGTGCCCCCTTCCCATCTGCCGCGTGCATGTATTGTCACCAGCAAGGAGACAGGTTAGTGCTTCAACTGCATCCCAGCTCGCATGTACATGTTGATTCCAACACAAACTGGTGTGAGCTCTGCATCCTGCACCAAGTGTGAGTAAACCTGTGCACATGCAGTATACCTCTACAAATGGGAAACTTACTGCATGTCAACTGCCATTTCTTGTTCCTACATGAAGTGGATAGAGCAAGTACCAGCTGGAAAGAATCTACTCTCATTTCTTAAGTTTACAGGAGAGTTGAGTGGTGGTGTTTTTTCCTTGCATTTCATTTCTGCGGCTTGGGTTCGATTCCCAGCTCAGTTCACCGGTGGATTGGGTTTTCAGTCCCTACCGGATTCCATGGGTTTCATCCAGAATATTTTGGGATTTCCTCCCACCTCTAAAACTGTAACAGTTTTTCACAGTCTCCTCTTGACAGGTTTCCTCAGGTTTGCACGCTAGAGTGCTTCTGAAGAATCCTTGGTCTCATTACTAGAAATGCTTAATAATGACAAGATACTCAGGGGCCAGTTTGAAGGAACAGACCTAATTCAAACAGAAGCCACTTTTGATCTTGTTCCCCGAATCTGTTTTGTAAATTCTAAAAGGTTGACCTGGATGATATTGGATTATTTATGATAGGTGTACAATACACGCATTTCAGTATTTTCAAAATCTGGTTTAAAACAAAGTAAGTTTAATCACAAAATTTGAAATCATTCAAAGCAGGCAGGCAGTAAATTCTCAGGAAATTCCATGCCATTGCTTCCATTTTTATTCTCAAGCATGGAGAGTTAATGTTACTGGTTCCAATGTGGCCAAACCACGAATAAAGCCTACAGGAAGATCAAATTTTTTGCTTCTGCTTCAGTGCTGTGCACAATACTCTATTGGGCTAGCATGGTACAGGTGATGGGTAAGAGTGGAAGCAGCAACATTAAATTTAAAAACCGGGCCCGTTGAACAAGATTTTTAACATCCACAACATCCAAGGCCGACTTGAACCTGGAGAGGCTTGAAGCTATCGTAATGACCTCTGATGAGAGATTTCATCTCACCTTCATGTATGCCACTGTTTTTTCCACTGCATCTTTCCTCAGCAAGGTCACCGTGCAGCCTCCGAAACCTCCACCCATCATACGGGATCCGTACACCCCTTCTACAGCTGTAGCTGCCTCCACCAACTGGTCCAACTCTGGACAACTGACTTCATAGTCGTCACTGGAGGGGAAAAGTGGCACTGTTTATGGGCTCATTCATTTTTTCCCAGTCTTTTCATGAGTGTACAAACCCTATGCTAGGAGAGGAACGATTCTGTGTACACTCTTATAAATTTGGGATCAGCGATCAGCCGTTGACCTTTTACTGTGTGTGCTTTAAGAAGGGGGGGCTGGGGTCAGAGGAAAAAGTATATTTTGTATGCTTGTGAAAAAAGTGATAAAAATATCTACCTGGAACCTATTAATAAGTTAAATAATAATCAGCATGATAATCAGTCCTCATTTCATGGTGTGAATATATATTTTTTTCTGATTGTGAATAAACACGGTATGAAAATAGCTCCACACACTGCAAGTAGTGAAGACATGTGGACTTAGCCAGAAATGGGTGCATGGTGCACCCTGAGTACCAGGTGCGTATAAAAAAATATTCTAGTCCTTTGAAAAAATTTAGCCATTTCCAGATAGAGGTACTGTTGGAAAACAAAGATAGTCAAGGAAACCACCTTCAATAATCTTAGCAAACAGTGTATTGACAGTGCAAGTTAAGTGATTTGTCTCTACTGTTTTTCTAGGAGGGGAGAGCTGAACAAAAACAAAGGCATGGAATTGTCTCCGTAACTGATCATGGGCCATCTGCCTCACACTGCTGCTCAAACCTTAGTTTAATCTGGCTGGGATCCACTGCCTGTGATGTCAACTAGACCTCTTTTCAGAAGAATGCTGTGGTTTTTAATCCACAGTGCTTTCTCCAGCCCCTCCTAATGTCAAGTTACCGTAGGGAGTTGTGGCTCTCAACCATCAGCTTTCCAAAGGTGACATAGTCTGCTCTCTCCAGCATCTCTACACCATCGGTAGTGCGTTTAATCTCACCGATGACATGTCTACCTCGCCGGAAGACTTCTTTGTCCATGTTGCCTTCGTTGGCTGAAGATGATAAATGGAGAAATTGTCTGTAGGCCCAAGGCTCAAATTCTACTTCAAATTTACCCACTGTGACCAACAATCTAAAAATGCTCAGGAATAAAAGTTTGCTCAACAACAATATTCTGCCCCAAAGCCAGTCCATGCATGACCCAAACTGGGAAGCAAAGCAGATTTGTATAGGGCGATGGCAAACATCAAGAAATTCACTTTTACTTTCACACGAAGAAAGACTCAACCTTAGTACTATTCCAATTGCCCACCTAGGAGTTCCTCCATCGTAGCATCTCGTAGACTCTGTTTCTTCAGTACTGCAGCTGCTTCTTCGCATTGTCTACGGCGGGTTGGGTACTCGCTGCCAGTTAGCTCATGACGTACGTTGGAGTTGGTGAGCAGCACGACCACATTAGGATCAGCCAATGGGACCTGCCTGGATTCCATCGAGCTGAAACAGAGTTGGAAATTATTGAACAATTGAATCCCCACAGCCAGTTACTTCCCATCTCAAACAAACCATTTTCCATGTATGAAACTCTAATACTTCTTGGTCACGATTTACATGATATACGAATGTGTGCTATGGTGAGAACGATTTCATTCAGCAACAGAACAAATTTTCTACTCCACAAGGCAATTCAGTCTCACTTCATGAAGTTGTTCATAGCTAGAGACCTCCAAAAGGGACATACCGACAGTCGATGAGGAGAGCGTGGCCCTCCTGAGCCATGACCGAGATGAACTGATCCATGATGCCACAAGGCATCTTGGGAAAGTCATGCTCGGCCTTCTGGCAAGCCAGCGCCTTCGCCTTCAGGTCCTTGGTTGGCCCGTTGGGATCCATCGCCTCCAAGAAAGTGTAGGTAGCCACTTCAAGGGAGGCAGAACTTGAGACTCCGCCCCCAAGGGGGACAGAGGAGGCAATGACCGCATCAAAAGATGACAACGTACCTAGAAAAGTTGGTGTACCAGTATTGTTTGACAACGTTAATGTATACACAAAAATAGGTACACTGAAGATTGTTAAAGTTCAGTATTTGTTGACTTATTTGCTACATTTACAGAGTGCAGAAGTATGACGTCACTGTGAACCAGAAAGTACTGTGCAAACGAATGGAGTACGTGCGCGTGTTGGTTCACGCACTGATTCTCGCTCAAATGCATTTTACACGCACAATTATGCTCATGACATAGTCACTTTGGTACTCTACACATTTTGAATAGGAAAGAAAGGCTTGACATGAAAACAAAGTTGAATTTAATAAGAAACAATTTCAAAAATTTGAACATCATCCTCAAGTGTTGCTCCCCACTCTAAACACAAAATTGGAATATTCAATCAGATGGGCATTTGAATATTCAATTAGTGGCTTATCCAAAGTGCCCCACGGCTACTTCCCTTTAAAGGTCTCAACCTCATTCATCAGCCTCCTATCTCATTCCACTTCACATTTACATCTTGCTCAAGGCCGCGCACCAACACCTGTTAGGGTCAGCAGGCATTTACTGTAGCTGCACCTACTCTCTGGGATCCGCGTCTACCACATATTCAAGACTTGTGATCACCCACATTAGACACATTCATGACTCAGCTTAAGACACACTTATTCAAAATTTGATAAACACTTTGCTTGTTTAAAGCGCTTTATGCAATTTATTATTATTATTCTCACATGGCCCTGCAGATTGGTATCCTATGTACGACTTGAGCCGAGTCTACAACCGTACCTTTGTAGTACTGCACTGCACCCTTGACATAGTTGGCCCATGCTGGTAGGCCTGGCTGTAGGGGTTTGTCAGCAGTGGGTAAGGGGAATTCAACCATCTTTGGCTCATCAGCATTCTGGGCAGTGGTCACCATACGGCACACTCCGGAAGTGGTCTTGTTGCCTACCAGCACCGTGACGTGTGGTAAAGCCTATAGATTGGGAAGATGTAGGAAAAAATCTGTAAAGATGCAGGTACCTGCAAAAGCTGTAGGGAAACAAATGCATCAGTGTGAAACCTAAAAGTAAAAAAAGGAAGAAATATACAAAGGTATACAATACTATATATATGCTTAATCGATTTGCTTAAGTCTGCCCAATAAATGAGTGTATTCCACAAAATTCATGAAAATCAATGATTCAGATCTGAATTCAAGGTAGGCCTAAATAATTTTGTAGATATTTTACATTAAACTTTAAAAAGAGTTGATTTAAAAGTAAACAAAGATAAATTATTAATCATCAAAATGTGGCCAGTTTGCGAAAGACTAGCCTTTTCTTATCTGCGCCTCGTTCCTCCGCCCCCCCCCAAAAAAATATTGAAATCTGGAGATCTCATAAGCATGATAAGCATGATAAGTCAAGAATCTAACATTAGTAACAACATTAGGCCTTGGCGTTATTGAAGACCACGAACCATCGGGAAAACCCATCCATCATTGTAGTCCGTGTGCTCCCCGATCAGATTAATTCTTCCTGGAGCGCAGGCAGCAACAGTTGGCTTGCCGCCAAACTTCTCCACGAAAACACTGCTTGCATCCTGCACCAATTCCTCGACGACTTTGATCTTGGTAACTCCTGCATCGGCCATCCTTATCGAAGAAGCCATGTGCATCGCCTGATATCCTCGAGTGTCGATACCTCGTACAAATGTTGAGCGAGTCCAGAAAATATTACACACATGGATATTTATACTCGTCCCAACAGTAGATTCCGCCCTGTGGATAAGGTTATTTCTCCCGTCACCTGTCATGTCTGAATCCCTGTCTTATTAAGAGGTTTTTACAAAGGATATGTATTGGACCAGACTCAACAGCAACCGATGCTGCGCGGTGTAGCTTTTACAGAGGAGAGGGAAACTCCCCCCATCAAAACATGATGAGTCGATGAATCTCCCACTTTTTGTCAGTTTAATTACGAGACTCAGCCCACGTGCTCGGGTACGCATCGACAACTGACGTGACCGTGCAGTGATTGGAATTTTTGTGAGTTTCATCCACTTATTGGAAAGAATGAATCCAAATTCAGATGCTTGGCCATTGTAAACACAAATTTACCATCAGATCGGATGATCTGACATGATGATGCAACTTCAACAAGTTTACCAAATCTGTCACAGTTGTATTCATGCGTGGATGGTCGAAATGCTTGAACCCTTATGGCAATGTGCTTACATGTCAATAAAAAGTAACTTATACCAATGTAAACTGTTTTTACTATGATCATTTGATTTCAATTGTTCTGGACCTGTTTAAGCAATAGGCATAATAAGCATGGGATATTGTTACTATGTTAGAATGTTAGGCGTTTAACAATATGTCAAATATTAAAGGTTAATTAGGGTCCCTAACTTAGTGTTAAGATTGGACACTTAATGTCTGTGAATGTGTAGTCACCAGGTTCCTAATTTTGCCACCTATTTTCCAGTAGCAAAATAAGAGACCTAGTGACTACCATGACTACATGTATGCAGTCACGGATGTAAGGCCTGTTTATAATGTACACAGTCGATGATGTACAAAATTTCCAATTTTACTTCCCTTTTTTCAAAATCATCTTGCACAACTTTGAAGTTGAAAGAACTGGTGATTGGCTGATGGTCAAATTAGTGAGAAATCATGTCATGTACATATGTAATACTAATAACACTGACCAATAGCATAAGATTAGGCAATCATGCAGATATTATTGAGCAGTTTTTAGATATTTGCATGAAACTTGAGAAAGTGTGAAGGCTATAGGGAGACTGGTTGCGATAAATTAATTTGTAGTTGTGTGCATTATCAGCAAAGGTCTGATTAGATTTGTATATGGTTGAGTGCAAGTAATGAACTTGGTTGAACAGAGTTAGATTAGAAGATCAACAGAGTACAATGAACATAGCCAATGAGGACAGATAAAACGCAAGACAGCATGTGTAGCACACTGTAAGTTTATAATGTATTAGTACCAGTTCTACTGGTTTGACTGTATTTTCACTTTGGAAAGACTGCAGCATACATCAATTGGATCTTGATCACAACTCCACTTTGTTGGTTGTGTACAAAGCCTATGGAGAGTTTAGTACATTTTTAAATATTTAAAAGAAAGTGTGGAATATTTTTCAGTCCCACATTCTTTCATTCCAACATTCTACCACTGATATATCTTCATTGAGATTGTTCCAGTAACTGAGGAAAATAGTGGAGGCAGGATGCAGATTTTTTGTTCATTAACTGTATATTATAAAGTTCTCTGCTTTAACAAAATTATAAATTAACCTTGGGGGTGGGGACTAAGGAGGGGACATGCTGGCCAGTGTAACTGCCAGTCTGGATGAACTTTTTCTACTGATATGGCCAATTGCAAAGAAAGTTGATGGGGCTGGATATGATGAAATGTAGTTGGCAGGACTCTCAAAACATACTCACCAGATGGTAGGCCTACTGTCTTCTGCACCTTTTGTAGAGAAGAAAAGGTAAAGTTACTTTACATGTACAGACATGTATATGCTCTGTCATGGAACATAGTCAAGAGAAATACACAGCACCAGTCATCACCACGCCCAGTTGTATTCTTCTCACCCTAGTGAGTGGCTGGTGGGTTTTATAAGGCTGGCCCCAAAAATGTAAAAGGAATTTTCAGAGGGAATTGAATACAAATGCCCTTTGTCATTCTGACTTAGTAAAAATGGTTACATAACACCAAACATGGATATGTAGGGTTAGGAACTATGTAGGAACACTGTGAGTTGGTAACAATGACCGGAAGATTAGCCCTGGCCTTCTTTACTAAGGGAATAAATATGTGGTTGGCCAGTCGGCTCAGGAGAATGGACACAACTATCAGCATTTGTTCTCCTGAGCAAGATCTGAAACATTAGTTTAAGGCTGGTCAAGCACATATTTATTCCCATTCATAAATACCTTTTTATTCAGAGAGTCAAAAGAAGTCAATATGTGATGGATTTCCACCAATTTAGTTCTAAAAGTGTACTTTCACTTTCCCGAACATCCCCTTCCATTTTGTGGTATACTCCTTTTGAAAGTTGTCCAATCCCCTTCAGTGAACTTGGAGTGCATGTGGCGCATCACCTGTACACAGACTCCTGACCAATCAGACCTGATTAAACTGTCTTGTATCCATGTGCCAGCACGTAATTTATGCAGCAGGCATTATGATTTCTCAGTGGGCATTATCAAACGTTAATACATGGTCACGTGACACGTTTTGACCAATAGGAATAGAAAAATTGTCCCAGGTATTTATGAATGAAGCTTGAAGGTGCATTTTGACTCTCCTCTTAAGATTCAACGTGGAGTTGAGGAAACCACATGTTTCTTTTGTTTACAAACACTGACTTCCAACTTTGTATGGGCAGCCAAAATTTGCACAAAGTCCACGCTTAGTTTGCGACAGCCTTTTCTCAAAATGTGCATTTATTCCATTAGTGTCAGAGGGAAAAATTTTCATCCAGTATTTAGCAGCAGTATTTATTGTTTTAATTTATTAATTCATTAGCCAATTGACTTTTTAAAAATTGGGCCTACTTGATGAATTATTTTGGGGTGTATTTATGGCCAGCCTTATTTGGGCAACCACTGGTTGCCAAAACTTGCAGCTGTGAGGAAGCAAAAAGTCTATGCCTTAAAAACCAAACTGTCAGAGTGCTAAACACCTAATCACACTTGCAGTAATAGTACTTAATCTCCCAACAGCTGTGATCAGCCATGGAGCACCTGCCTCAGGAGAGACAGCACCTGCTGGATCGCCTCCTGGATGCGGTCAAGCAGTGCCAAGTACGCTTTGGGGGACGCACGGAACTGGCCACAGACAGTGACAGCAGGGTGTCCTGTCTTTGCGCACAGTTTGAGGCTGTCTTGATGCACGGACTGAAACGAGGCACTAGCAATCCGCTCACTGCCCTCAAGTAAGGATTTCGTCACTTCTAGGTTTGATATTTGTGAAAATGAGACTGTTTCCTTCCATTTGCCAAAGCAGGGTTGGAAATACCCACAGGACTGGTGAACCAAGGCCAGTTATTGCAATTGTGGCCTTGCAGTGTCATTACCAGTACAAACCCAGCAGTCTAGTGTTTTTGTAACATACGGTATGTATAGGTATCTCCAATGTTTGATGATAAAGAAATTGTGCAAGCTTCATTTTTTTACATGTAGTCAATAGTCCTTGTACATGTACATTGTACAAGGGACGTTTTGAGATAAAAGCTGTATACAGTGCGTTGCAATTGAAAGTTAACCTCAAAAGAGGAACATTTTTCACACTTTGTCCCATCTGGGAAAAATGAATATACATTTCACAAATTGTGAAAAATTTTCACACTTTTTACTCAAGTGGGAATATTTTTCACAGCTTTTTTTTTCACAAATGGAAAATTTGCCTGTGAATGTGAATTGGAATTCTTTTCACAATTTTCCCAGTTGTTTTCACAAGGTTAAGTTTCAGTGGCGATGTACTAGCAAATCAGTTGGTTTATAATCACTTTGGTTACTATGTCAGGTTTGTACAAACAGCAGTCGTTCCAGTCTAGTAGTAATTGTATCAGGTACTGACCTTGTAGTCCAATTGTTCAACCCTTGAAACGTATTTGATTTGTGCTTACATTACTGCAAATGTACTTTTTCTGGTCGGCCTGTGTACTTGCCATTCATTTTTCTGAGAGTGTGACTTATTTTGTAAACTCTCATGTGTATCTTTTGTAATTCTTGTGGATCTGCACCTCAAGAGGGGTTGTTTTCGATTGCGGTGGTCAGCAGCTTAATTATCCATCGATCATGCAAACACTTAGCTAATCACAAATGGCAGAGTTAATGAGTCAATCTGTCAAATAGTAGTCAAATAAGGAAGAACTTGTGTGATTGGTTGCTTGTGCAGAATCAAGTAAGCTGGATCAGTTGGTACATACTTCTTTTTCATTGGACCCATGTTGATGGCATTTTTTGGGGTCATTTGTCTATTTTGCAGGCAAATGACAGGTATCCCTTTGATCAAGCCAGATGCTGAGCAAGGTAGGTGTAGATTCTTTCCTACATTTCAGATTCCATCATGCAATGACAAATTTCATTGCAGCTTGGTTTGGGCATTCTTTGTTTACACACCAGCAAAGTCTTTGCCTATTCTTTCAAAGCATTATGTAATCATCATTTCACTCTACAAGCTGTGAGTCAAACAGTTCCCAGACTACAAAACTTGATATTGAAACCCTTCCTTTGTTTTGTCAACAGTTAACATTCCAATGCATGATCATACAGACCAAACTTCATTAATATTCAGTCCCTTTTTCCCCACTTTGAGCTTTTTTGTGTCCTTTCCCACAGCCTTTTGGCCTGTCATCCGTGAGAACCTAACTAAACATGAGCTACAGCGCTACATGTCCCTGAAGCACATCACAACTGATGCAGGGAGGGCTAGGGCATGGCTTCGAAGTACTCTCAATGAACGTTCACTGGAGAGATACCTCCATTCCATACTGGCAACTCAAGGCATGCTCAAGTGAGTCAGGGTGACACTGAATGTGCTGTTAAATGAACTACTGAAGTTTTTAAAAACTGTACATTATCCTAACCTGATATTAAAATTAATGATTAGGTACCATTTGGGGTTGCATGTTGGGCACTGTTGTGAAGGCAGTGATGTTTGAGAACAGAACATGAACATCAAGGCCCTATGCTTACAATATTTCTTGTATAATATTTTTTTCTTCTTTTACTAACTTCGGTTTTAGCCCATGTAATACCCAAGAAAGGGAGGTTGCTATGGTGTCTATCAGACACCATAGCAACACATACCTTTACCTGATCTTTGCAACGTCCAAATTTTAAAAGAAGTCTTTATTACTGAGGGACTCTCCCAAAGAAGGAACAGCGCTTGAGTTTAGGTCCTAAACACACCACCATATGATACAAGAGGATATGTGGTGAAACCCCCTTCAAATACATGTATGTCAGGCTCTTACCCATAGAATTATGTACTCTTTTACATCAAAAATTTGTGAGGGTCTCGGTCATTTCATTTGGCTGCGCCAAAGATTTGGAATAACTTCCCATACACCATCAAAGCTGCTGATTCTTTAGTCACTTTCAAGTCCATGCTAAAGACACATCTCTTTGCCCAAGTGCAGTTTCTGAACCCTCTTGTTAATGGACAATCTTTGACATTCGGACAACTGACTGGGATAAAGATGGAAATCAGAGCAAGTGCCATGAGCGCTTCCTATGGCAGAAACTGGCACTGAGGAAGACTTTATTATTATTATTATTATTCTGGTGAAAATAAACTTGATTTTAAGTAGGGTGAAAAAGTGTAGATAAAGTCTTCTTCGCTGGTTCCATTAGCCATAACCATGCTGAACCCAACAAGGTTATGCAGGATTTCAGTGGTCCCTAGAGGGTTAGGGAGCTTCATTAATAGGAGAGGTCGAACATCCGATGCATTGGGTCTTTATTTCCAACATTACTAAAGAAAGCTAATTTTTTGCCTGTCATTTCTAAACACACGTCTTCTGCAGTGTATGCACCCAAACCGCAACTTAATAAAAGCATCCCTGAGTTAGCTCTTTGACTTGCTGCTGTGTACGCTAGTTGGATTGAAGCACGAAAACAGAATACTTATTCTTATTTGAAAACAAATGTGAAAACTTCAGATTCAAAAACTGCTTAAACAGTGGACCTCCTGCCTAATGAGCTGACATCATTGTTTTAATTAAATTAAAGAATTCCATTTAGCGTATGAAGGCCTTCAATACACCTAGAAATTGCAATCCAAAGACTGAAACTAAAGTTAAACTATGAATTTAGACGCAAAGAACAGATGCATTTGAAGTTGTACATGTACTGAGGCTATTCAGTGGAATTGGAAAGAAAAACAGGGGTTCAAATGGTGTCATGAACGACACTTACGGTGATTTCCCCTTTGATAGGCAATATTACGAGCCATGGGCATTTCTTCTTGATGAGGAGCGATCTAGCATGATTCCAACAATGGCTAGGGGTCTGGGCTCCATACTATTTGCCATTAACATCGACAAGGATGAACTCAATGGAACTAAACAGGTAAGAGGGTACCATACCCTGTCCAACATTTTTTTTTTTATCCTGTCTTCTCGTTTTAGTTTGTCATTCAATTTGTCAAAATCTTTCAGTTAGTCAGTTTGTACTGTGTTGATATTTGTTCCCTTCTCAACAGCAGCCTTCATAGATTAGAAACCAGGCTTGTCTTGAGAGTTTATCTAAACGAACAGAAAATCATTCTTAACCTGAATCCCTTGTTGAATCAAGCACTTCTTTAACTACTTGACATGGTGACGTGTAAACACACAAAATTTTCCTTATTTGTTCAACGGAGGATGTGTACACTTGTTTAAGAATTCTTTTTTCATTCTGCGGTTGATGTAATAACATGCTTGGTTAGGTCAAAGTGCAATTGTTTGGTTGAAGAATTTACAGGTAAAAAACCCCGTCCCCAGCAGCATTTTCTGGTAAGAAAATCTGACATTAACTGGCTATTTTACAATGTAATCCCCTGGAAACTGCCCTGTATATTAACACAGGAACCAATTGTGGGGAAATTGAAATTTGATTCAATTGAACTCAAAGTAACCATTTCAAGATGAATGCATTCTCTTTTAGAAGATTTCACGTAATTAAAAAAACTCATGTGGAAAGTGTACATGTATTTGAGAACTGGAAGGAGAAAAAAATTTAAAATAAAAGAAAATCAATACAAAAACAAAGACTTTCTGTTACACATATTTGGTTGAGTATTTGGTAACAGAGTACTTGTCATGGCCCAAGGGATGAATGTGAAATAAAAACTTATCATACTAGCACTGTCAATAATTGATGAATGGACCGAAACCAAAAGTTGTATGCAGATTTCAAACACTGCTTGATATCTGTTTCTTGTTGTGCCAGATTACACTACATGGTTTCCCAAGGCTAACATTTGTTAGATTTCATCAACAGCATAAGGAAATGTTCTGTTAAATAAGAAAGGAAAAACATCAAATGTATTGTTCTAGGGCTGATTCCCCTTCGCCATGTATCATGGTGGAACACTTTTTAGTGACATTGATAGAAAACTTATAATATTCTTATACAGTAAAATATTCGTTTAGGCTTTTAATCAGGTTCAAGTGTTGACAGATTACACTGATCATTACAAACTTATGTACATGTACTTATCCTCAGGCAAACTTTAATTCTCAATTCTGATTGGTCGATCCATAGCAACAAGCAGTGTGATATATCCCCGTATTGCACGGTCCATATCAAATTCCGGGTAATGCACTGTTCTAACTTAACGCATTACACTAAAAGCAAAACGCACAACTGCAAAATTTACTTTAAACTGAAAGGTGGCGAGGTTGCACGCATAAGACCCTGATAACAATTTTTACTGTGCATCAAGTTTGCTTGAAGGTCAATTTGTTATCACGCTTGTGCTCATGGAACACAAAATAACGTAGTGCGTCTGTGTCCCATATACCACAAGGCTGCACTCATGTGATAACTAATAATGTACATGTAGCAAGGCCATATCACCGAAAGTTTGCAAAGTTCATTGATTTCCTCCCATTTTTTAATTGTTTTGCTCCCAAAACATTGTTGAAACAAGTGTGTTTTAAAGATTTTCAGCAAATTTATTTCCTTTGTTCTCTGAAGACATTTTTAGAGCTACTTATATACTCGTGTGGTTACACTGTGCTTTGTTGGTTACATATTTAATGAAGTTTTGAAGTTTACCTGCTATCCCTTTATTGTATTGTACAGCACTGTTTTGTAGTCCAACATTACTGCAAAATCAACTCTCCACGCACTTGATCCCCCAATCTATTCATTTACAGTGCTTTTAAAAACTTGCTTCTTCTTAGACTTTGGATACCCCGCCAAGGCATTGCCAATGCAGTCCTAGTGGATAGGCCTGTACATGCACAGTGGTATAAATTCTGGAAACAATTCAAAGGCCATATAACTTGTCTCATTGCAGACCCCATACAACGCATGAACTGAAGGCTCTAGTCCATTTTACATGTATGACATTCTCTGTAGAGTCAGTGAAGGACATTGCCTGTACACTGTGATGGAATAGTGAACATGGGTTTAACAACAAATAAAATGTTCAACTTATTGAGTACAAATTTGAAACATTTGTTGGAGAGGAGTGTCACATGAATTTCATAGCACTGAAATGTTCATTGAGACTAGAAGGATTTAGTGTTCAACACTTTGCATAATATTCACATACATGTATGTGTACTATACAGAAAGTTTTCACATCAAGCTCTTGGTCAGTAGATAAATTTACATATACATGTACTGTATATTCTCCAGAAAAATTATGTACCGTACATTCAGAACTGCTGACATTTACATGTCAATGATTCTTATTTCACAGAAGTTTAAAGCCGATCTACTGGTCTTTCCATTTATTATTTCCCCAGGAAACCACCCCATTAAAATACCTCATATAAAGTTGAAATTACTTTTTAAAAATTTTTTTTCTACATATATCCGTGAATAGGATAGCACATATCATTGCTCTGTTACAAGTACATCTGTATTTGTATCATTCCATTACCTTAAAAGCAAAGTACAAGAGGGTTCTATTAATAACATTTACAGGTTTTATTATGAATGCCTTGATCTTTGCTCTGTATGTACAGGCAACAGGTCCAGTGCATGTTATGGAACAAGTTAGCCTACATTACAGCTGAAGTCTGGTTTTGGTATAAGCAGAAAAAGAAAGAATATGACCTGACAAAAGGGGTACATGTACTTGGTCAGATGTGCATGTGCAGGTTTTATCAAGGACTGTTGGGGTCTCTTATTCCAAAGGAAAAGTAATTAAAGCAGTAGTTATCCAGTGTTCAAGTGTACAATTAAAAATATATCTGGTTGTGAAAACTGGGAAACTCTGGCTTCTGGTTTCATTTCTTCCTCAGCATGTGGTAAAGTCCAAATGAGGTATCAGTGCATACATGCATACAGCCAAATACATGTACAGTACATGCCTTACATGTAGGTGTGGGTTTTGAAGTTACACATACATGTACATTCACAAGACAAATAGAATGTGTATGGAATGGGTCAGAAAATGACTTTTGTGTGGGAGATAAAATCTATTGTGCATTCAGAAACCCTTTTCTTTAAAAAGAAATCGTTTCCATGCAGTGAGCATTGGAAAATGGAAAGCCCAAATTTGGCCTAAAGTTAAAAATCGGTGTCAAAGATGCAGACCTTTGGCTTTTACATTTTATGTCCAAGAGGTACCAGTCTGACTAAATCTGTGTGTTGGATTTTTGGATGGTTTGTTTTTGTGAAACTGACATTACGTGTACATTGAAATACATGTACATGCACCTGTAGATGAAATTTTTGTGGTTGTGTGGGACTTGGTGTTGGAATTGGAAGAAAAGAAATATACACCGTTTTGAAATTAAGCATATTTATTTGCTTTTTTAAACATTCTTTTTTTTCAATTGTATTTTCCATTGAAAGGGACCCAGCCTGAGTTCTTTGATCCAAGCACCTGAGGTCGTTCACTCAGAAAGTATGATACAACAAGATCCAGAGCCTGTGTACGTCACAGCCACAACTACAGGTGAGACACAAATGCCTAGGAAAGTCAGGTTCTGAATCAGGCTAAGCCTTTGCAGTAATGAAGCCTGGTCTTGTTTAACTCTCAGTGTGAATTACAATTACCGGAATATACAATTGAAATCAGCATATCCCTTTTTGTCTACAAGAATAGGGGATAATACTTTTATACACCAGTCTCCAGATATTTCCTCATAATGTTTCTTTGCTGTGGATCTATTGGGGAGGTATACATGGAAAGTGTAACGCAGTCATCTGAGATGCCCACAGCAGAATACTAAAGTAGACCTGAACTGTTCAAGAAGAACATCAGATGATCCTGTCACTCATGAACCGTCTCATATTAGACTTGTTTGGGGTTGAAGCGGTAGTCCCCTATTATAATGTTGCTTTCATGCTTAATTGTAGATGTTTTGTCATTTGTTTTAAAACTTTGTCCAGGTGCAACAAGTGACAGAAAGGAGAAGAAGAAAAAGAAGAAGAAAAGCTTTGTTTCCATAGTTTCCTTCAACGATGATGACTCAGGGAGCACTGTGGTGTCCTGTGGGTCACCTCCCTCCCGTCTGCATCACCATCCAAGACCTCGCAAAGACTCTGCAGGGAACAAGGATAGCCTTCCTAAGGAGGCTGGTCAAAACAATGTCAGCAAAAAAACGGTAGGGTTTAACGTGCCATCAGGCCAAGTTCAGACCATGTCGGACACCAGTGCAGGATTGCCCGAGGTCAGACTAGGTCCAGATTTAAGCCAGCCAAGTGCACAGCCTTTAAGCAACAGTACTAATCACGCACACCTACAGTCTCTGCCTGGAAGGGGAGCAACTGTTTCGAATGAATCACTGCCAAATCTTCCTGCTTCTGTTGCATCCATTCCAAGGGAAGACAGTGACAAAGAACTGGCCAATTCAAGTCGGTATTTGCCACAAGTAGCTGAAGCAAGCCAGAGCATACATGGACTTGCACAACCAAGCCAGCCTATCCCAGTTCAGATACGTGCGACACAGAATGCTCAAGCGCCAAGCCAAATTCCTTCCCAAAGTACGACTGCCAACATTCCACGCCAGCAGGATAACGGCAACAATCCGGACAATGGGAGCCTCATCAACCAAACAGTGCAGCAACTCGCTACATCCTTCCCAGCCAAAACACCACCTCCAACGCCAGACAATGCAGCGTTCATCCAACAGTATGACCACATGCGAGCCACAGTGGATGCAGAGAGCGTTGCCGACAGACTCCGCCAGCAGGAGATCTTCCCCAAGACTGGCTCAGAGTCCAGCAGCTTTGACGCAGACACAGTGGAAGGCACACCCCCTAAAGGCTTGGAAGTTGCAGACAATGCCCAGCTGAGGTCTATTCCATCTCGACAGAGCTTCCATATCATTGGTGGGGGTGATGATGATTCAGAAGTTGCCATGTATCCAGTTAATGAGGATTCTGCCTCACAGCAAGGTACAAACATAAAAGTTCTCATTAAAGGTTTAAAATTAAGTATGAACTGTGTAACTTGGGTGCCAGCGCCGAGTTTAAATGCACTCAAGAAAAGAGACGTTTTTGGGGGAAAGTGAGCACTTCCATCCCCAAAAAAGCAATCCAGTTGATGACTATTTAATAATGCATTTTAAGTAACTAGAAGTAGCACTGCACGCTATAATCATTGCATTAAGCGTAAATGATGCCTTGACTACATATATGACTGAGAAATACTTAAATGAATTCACTTTGAAGCATAATTACTGTTTTGTGACAGGACACAAAATCAGGGAAAGGGAGCCTTCAAGTTATAAATATTTGTCATCACTTGAACATTACTAAACCTGTTTTATGTGAATCAGCAGGCACGCTGAAGAATTAAACCAGAGAGTAGTTTTCTCTGCTGAATTAAACTTAACACTCATTTCCAGTCAAATTTCGATGGATTTCTTGGTGCCCATTGTCAAGCAGAGTTTATGAACATATTTTGTTTGTGTTATTTTTCTTTACTCTATCAGGAACGGCAGCATACATGTTGATTTTGCAAGGGCAAAATTGGTAATGGGCATTTCCATGGCAACATTTTGACACATTGAAAATGATGTTGTGTGAATACTTTCACAGCAAACTACATGTAGAAAAAAGGACAGCTGAAGCACATGTACGCCTAGCACCAGTATGAAGCTTAACATTTTAAGTCGTGTCAAACAAATACTATTTTGCTAATTATGAATGGTTAGGAGGTTGGTAACAGAATGACACCATTTTCTTTATTGAGCGTCATTCCATTAATAACCTCATTTCCATCTTTGTTCTTCAGGTTGTATACATATACAAGTCCTCTTACTCATATTTCATGCAATATGAAAATATCAGTAGAGCCAAGAGTAGGCTCCTAGCAAGATATCTGTCATTTGTCTTCATCTACATGTAGATACACAGTCCACTGATTCCAGCATGTTGGGCTTTGGTGCTGAGACTGAGAATGCTGCACTTGGTTTACTCCTGGCACAAAAAAGCTTAAAGGAAAGGTACAGTAGTGTCTTTTTCTGATTTATTTCATGGCATAGACCAGTTCTGCAATTCACAAAAAGGCTTGCCTGGAATAGAATAAGTGCAGCCATGATCACCAAATACATGCTTATTTTTTTGAAAGGGGCAAAGGGCTTAGAAATACTGGAAAATCGTTGGGTAATAAAAAAAGGGAAGTGGCTCTGTTATTATAAATCCTCAAATGATTGCAATAGGAAGAGTCAATTTTTAACAGTTGACACCCTGAGCAAGGAAATTAACTGGTGTACATTTGGTGACCATTTTTTAATGTTTGACCTCTGTACAGAAGTACATTTATACAAACCATGTTGTCTGATTATATACATGGATCACTGTTTATCCTTGGTCAGTGGGTGGTTTGTAAGAGTCTCTCATGCCATGAAAAACTTGGACAGAAATTCCTGGGACTATTTATCTTGACTCAAAAAGTAAGGGTGAGAAATTTGTTGGCACACATGAATAACTGGTAATTCATGCCTGTCATTGAGCAGTGACAACATTTTCTCATTGTTTGTGGACACAAACAAATACATCCAGGGAAGATGTTTTCCATTTGTTGATATTCTGCATTCACCTTTTTTTATTTTAGCATACAAAGTACAATGGATCCAGGAACACCAGAAGACACACTCTCCTCATACCAGACAATGTCCAACGGTAAAGCTTTTTTGTTTTTTAAATAACTGCTCTTCAATCTTGAAACAATTTTAATTTGAATATATGATGAAGCTTATTAAACTACTATATTTTGTTATTGTTGCTTGGGAGCATCCAAAATTGGACAGAATTCTAGTAAATAATGCTGTGTTCTTTGTACCCAGGGTTGAGACATTGAACCCTATGCAAATTAGTAGTGGCTTGGTTTTACATTCCTAAATCCAGCAAAAAACTACCAATCCAAGCGGTGGATTTGGGTTAATTTAAGGCAGTTGGGGCTGAGGAATCACCAGTGTTTGATATTCTTGAAATATTGTTCGTTGCAGATGAGTTAAAACAAGCAGTACTTGCCATGATGAATCGGAATGATGACTTGCAAGAGCAGAACAGGTAGGAAAAGCCTTCTCTCTGGACAGAAACTATGGTGGTGAGGATTGTCATCACTTACATTGCTTGAACAAGTGATTTTATTCAAGGGTAATGCCAGAAATTTAGGGGTCCAAAAGTGTGACATTTTTGTGACCCTGTTACATCTGACCTTTGTAATTTGACATGGAAATATCACCCGAATTGATTTTAAACTATTACTATTTGTGTGGCTGGTAATTTGATTTAATTCATCACTCTTGGAAATTAGAAAATGTGTTCTGAACTTACAAAATCATATGTCAGATGTGACGGGCACGAAAAAAACGGACCCCTAATTTCTGGAATTACCCTCATACGGGTTCAATTTCCATCCGGTCTCCTTTTTCTTTCCTAATATGGGGTAAAAGTAAGAGCTCAAGTTTTCAAGTTGGGTTGTTTTACCGTTTGATTGCAATGTGGCATCAACCAGGTGTTCTTTTCTACTGCTAATCATCAGGTCTTTAAGGAGTCTTCTTGACAGTGAGATGGAGCATACTGGTACCATCAGAGCCCAGCTGGAGGAACTCAAATGCCACAGTGTAGAGATGGAAGAGAAGCTACTAACTCAACTGGGTGCTCTGACAAGGTATCCCTCACTAGCCAGCCATAGTCCTGTAAACATCAATATTCTTTCATTTTTTTGTGACTCGGTTTAAATTTAAGGACAAACTTCATGCATCACCGCTGTTTTCAACAAAGAGAGAGCTTGTCAATAACAATGCTTTATCAATTTAAAGAGTGACATTTGATTTGCATTTTTGTGAAAGGACTGACATGTGACATACCTGCCCAAAATGGTTGGAATATTAGTTTACTTCACTAGTGAATTCTCTGAAAAGAAAGATATTTTCAATAATTGTATGGAAGAAATAATCAATATTCTTTATCACATGATTTGGGCAAGACTAGCTATGTAATACTCTAATATCTTTGAGCCATAGTGTTCTGTTGCCAACAGTGTACATGCATTTTTTCTGTGCTGTCAGTAGCAATGCAAGGGCCACTTCAAATTACGTCATGTGGCAACTTTGTCTTGGGTTAAGGGATTTCATTGCCATGTAAAAAGTACTCCAACAAGTGAATGAGCCAGATATCATTTCTAGATTACAATGCGTTTAGATCTCTCACAAATAGCTATTTTTCCCACCTGTCATGGTAAAATTCTTGATCTTCATGTCACCTGTAGGGAAAATGAGGTCTTAAAACATCAGCTGAAGAAATATGTAGGTGCTGTGCAGATGCTGAGAAGAGATGGTTCCCAAGCAATTGAAGGTACATGTACAAAGCTTGTCACATTTTGTAGAAACTTTAATTGAAGCCTTTTTGACAACCTAGGATAACTAGGGTCAAATTTGCAAGGGTACTGACAAGTGTTGGATCAATTTTTCAGTAGAGTCGTTTCAAATTGGGGATCCGAATGAATGGACCATTAAATTTTTTCAGTGAGAATTCTCAAAGCGGAAGATTGGGTATTTATCGTTTAACAAAACTGGTTAATGAACAACGCAACGTACATGCTCAATTTAGGTTTTATTGCTTTCATTCATTGTTAAAGTTTTGAACATTTTGTTCTGAATCCACAAGTTAAATTGTTGAATGGCAGTTCCATATAATAGTGGAAATTGGTCATGGTCTGACTGCCATCATTGTTGTCTGTAATTTATCATTAAAAGAAACACAGATTTTTTTTTTTTTTTCAAAAAATGAATGTGGAAATATAAGGTAATGGTGCTGGAAATAATAGTATTTCCACTTCTGTTTATGTGAAAAACTCTTATGTTATGAATTGGGGATTATCACAAGATTGATAACAGTTTGCACAATTAGTTTTCCACTAATGTCCACTTTGACATGGAATGGCCGAGGACCATTCCTGCATATTGAAAGCAGCAGATGAAAACTTGTTTTGGAAATCCCATTCTTGGTGTAGGTCTTCCTGGTATCCGTGCCACGGAGCCCCAGCCTCCTATTCCTGAACCCAAGCTAGGATTGAAGCAAAGGTAAGGGGGACCAGTTATTTTACAGCATACGACAACTTCCTTGACCTTCTGCAAGTGATTTCTACATGTAGGTTTGCACATGGAAACACCCCATCCCTGCAATTCATGAGCAAGCACAATGTTTTCAGCTTCAACAACTCTCAGCATGTGGTTGAGTGGTTAATATATATGTACTAGTAAGCAGGAGGTCCAGGGTTCATGTCCTTCCTTATCAAGCTTTGAATATAGCGTAGTCATAAAGGTATATCAATAAATGACGATAACTCTGGGCTTAAAGATCTCTTTCTCACACTGATGACAGTGATCAAGTGGAGGAGTATGAACGAAAGTTGATCCAGGTAGCAGAGATGCATGGTGAGCTGATGGAGTTCAATGATTACCTTAGCAGGCAGCTCAAGCAGCGTGACAACCTCGTCCGCAGGCTGCAGGATGAGTTGGTAGACCTCAGGGGACCAGTGAGTGTACACCCATGATGTGGTTGAACCCCCTGTTCCCCCCCCCAGATAGTAACATGCTCATTTCGCTTGTCATAGGACCTTCCTCTCCTTACAACTTCTCATTAGATTAGGAAGCGCTAACCAGCAAGATCAATTTGCTCTTGACTATTTATGCATATTATTTATTATTATTTAACAGTTATAGCCTGCTGTGATGTTGGGGATTACATTGTTTACACCTGAGGGGCACATGGCACCCAAGGTGAAGCAAAGGTGCCATGTAAAACATTCACATGTAACACTAATCAGTGGTTGGTTTGTTGTGTCTTGCTGATAAAAGATCAAATGTTTGACACTTTTATTAGTTACCACATAATATTTTGGTCACTCTTAGTTTCCCTGTCAGACGTGTTTTAAAAAGTTGTAGTGCTTTGTGATGGGGTGGGTGTTGAATAAATATTCCATGCCGCATGAAAGCAAGTTATGTGTAATTGCACATGCTTGGTTTAGGCCAGGGTTCTGTATATTGGTTCCTTTTGTCCTTGTAGCAAATGATGCTTTGATATTCGTGTTTGAATCTAATACTCATCATTTCTTCATGTGAGAATTTCTATTTTTCTTTTTCTTCAACAGTTACCCCGTGACCAGACAGCTGCTGTCGGACTATTAAACAGCGGGAGTGACAGGTAATTACAAACTTGATTACAAAATATCCATTTACAGACCTGATAACTCTTAACCTTGCACTTTGAAAGGAACATTTCATCAATCCTGTTCTGTAAAATTCCAAACTCAATTTCCCTAAGAAGTTGTAAAACATTTGATCTCATGGTCAAACACATGTTGATACTCCATATAAGGATGCAGTATAGACAAACTGATTGGCTTTAGACGGTAATCTGTGCACCTCAAGAACTGTAAAAGACCCAGGACTTACAAGGCCCATGTGTGATCGATCATTTGCAAACTTGGAGGAATCTGAGTAATGCTTGTTTGAATACACTTGACTAAAACTTTGGAACTCTGAAATGCAAAGTTTAAACTATACAGCAGTATTCATTTTCAAAGTTTATAGAAAAACAGAAAATGAGAGAAGAATCTGACTGGGCATTTTACTTACAAAAATAGCGTGATCTGAATTGTCATGTGGCTTGTGCATTTGTACACATGTGACACGAATTTTATAGATGTGTGAATTCCACCCAGCCATGCTGTAGCCAGTCATGAGAATAAAGAATCTGCAAGGGTCTTGCTACAGGCCAGTTCCAAAAGGGGAATTTGGCAATGCTGTCACTGACCTTTTTATCCTTTGTAATTCATAAACAAACAGAAGTTTTTCAAAAAGTAGAAGTGAAAGTAATAGGTAGCTCCAATACCTTTTATGTCTAATTTTATTTTTTTTAAACTTCTTTTTTATTTATGAATTACAAATGATAATTATGTCGGTGACAGCATGACCATTTCTTCTTTTTTGCTGGAATTGCCTTGTATCATAAACCATTAGAGACACATTTTGTCAACTTGTCAGTTGATATGTCATTGTCAGTTGATATGTCGATGTCAGTTGATATGTCATTGTTTCTGTTGACACTCCAGTGATTCACTTTCGTCTAATCAGCGAGCGCTGGTCAACATCTGGATTCCCTCCGCCTTCCTCAGGGGGAGAGGTAGTGAGGCGTACCACGTCTACCAGGTGAATTGCTAATGACGAGCTGTACAAAATCATATGTCAGATGTGAAAGGGACATGAACAAAATGGACCCCTAATTTCTGGAATTACCCATTAATTAACTCAGTTCGGCTGGATAACCAACTGATTTGACATACTCGGGCTTGCCCCCAGTTGGCGCTGGACAGAGTCAGGGCAGCAGACAAAGTTGGCACAAACCATTGCCAGTGAAGAGTGAGGCTACAGTTTGAAGTGTTCACAGCCAATTGGAAAGTCAAACAAAATGTTTCTAATAAGGTATTATATCAACTTTCTGTTGTCTCCTTTACAGATTTATGTCCGTATCCGTGACGAGGAATGGAATGTCTACCGACGATACACAGAGTTTAGAGAGCTGCATCTTAGAATACGCAAGAATCATGCCATTGTCAACACCTTTGACTTCCCCCCTAAGAAAGCAGTTGGAAACAAGGTTGGTCAGTCAGTCAGTCACAGTTCTCTCCTCGAGTTACTATCTAATGGCTGACTTGGTCTCAAGTCTGACTTGAGTGGCAATTTGTTTGACTTGAGGCTTGACTTAACTAGGAAAAAAAAGACTTGTGAGTTGACTTGGAAGAAAATAACTCAGGACTTGACTTGAATTAAATTGAGTTATTAGCATTACCAACTGTTGTTGAAATAAATCTATAAAAGCAGATAGGTCAGACCCATTTCGCTAAACATCTCAGGTCACATTGTTTTGAAAGTATGTCAGAAAAAGTGTACAAGTGCCATGTCAAATAGACCTGAAAGATGACTTGACACTTGGGAAAATTGGACTTGTGACTTGACTTGTGGAAAATTGCCTTGGTTGCAATACTTGTTTCTGTATCAGAGTTGCTTTTAATCCTCGGAACAGTTTCGCACAAGTAGACTTGTCCCACAGTGCATCTTGGGATTTTAAATTTTCAATAAAGATATCTGAGGTAAGATGCATCAGAAATATACAATTTGGACCTGTTACTTTTGATGTGGTTATAATTAGATCCAGTTTCCAATGCACCGGCTGTGTGTGATCCCATGTAAGTCAGAAATCAGTTAATTGTACCAGTACAAAGTAACCATCAAGAGAAGTCTTGAACATCTCATAGTTCAAAACGTAGCCCTGCAATAAACAGATTGTTTGTCTTGTGTAGGATTCAAAATTTGTTGAGGAACGAAGGAAGAAATTGCAGCATTATATCCGCTGTGTGGTCAACTTCTTTGTTGATAACTCCAGTGAGCTCACTGAGAACCCATGCAAAGAGAAACTCTTGAGTGTCTTGCCTTTTTTCAAGTAAGTAACATATGACATGACTGGCGTAATTCCTTAGAAATGGTAGAACTCCACTAGGTATTGGTGTATCCAACAGGGATGGGGGGGAGCAACTTGCACCTCTCGACAGGTTGTCAGGCTTTAAATAAAAAAATTTATTTTTCTTTTAGGGATTTGAAATGCTAACACAAAAAATAGGAGGGAATTACGCTATTACAAATTTAAAAAGTTCAGACAGTCGTTTCAGAAAAATTCCCATATCCCCCAACTCAAAACCTGGATACAGCACTGCCACAAAAGTCACCCAAAGAGAAGTCACATCTCTCACTTTGCATTTTGCATGCATTGCTGTTTTGGTGGAAATTGAAACGTAAAGTACAGTTTTGGACGCTGGTACCTTTCTATCAAACTTGGTGAAAGACAACTTTTAAGACTTAAGAGTGTATTTTGTCCCCAAGTGTTTCGAACAAACATGTCTTGGATCTCCACTTAAAATGATATACTCATTACTAAACAAGGCTGTGTGAGCCAATATTACCAAGAAGGCTGATGTTGATTTGTTGTTTCTGTGGCCATTGAACGGAGAACATTTCAAATCCTGTTGATTGGATGTCAGTCTGTGACCATTTCTCAAACCTTGATTTTTTCTCCAAGTGCTTTTTAATTTTTTTTGGCAGTTTGGTGGTAATGAGCAAGTTTAGTTTTTCAACAGTTCTTGCCCAAAAGGAGGCATGTCATAGGTCATTCAGGGACATCAGTATGCTTACGCTTGAGGTCAGCCCTATCAGGGCAGCTATACGCCAATTTACACATAGGAGGAGGTGCTTTGGTCTCAATTGACCTTTTTCAATACAGAACTGGCTCAGTCAATATGTGGAAAATTGTTTCAAACTTTCATTAATAAGTCAGGGATTTTAATTTCAGGGATGAGCCGACAAGGAAACAGACACGGCCTGCTAGTGCGAGCAGATCCAATAAACTCGTAGCTGGACGGCAAGCGGTACCAGAAACACCTACTTACGATGGATTATGAAGTATTGCTGTGGCCTTCATTACCATTAACAGCATTTTACCAGTTGTTTAAATCAAGTTTCAACATATTGAAATGCAAAGCGGAATTTTGTTTTAGACTTATGTACCACTCTACATTTTTAAATGATCCCTGAAATGGTGATTTTTAAAGTTATGTTCTGCCATGTCTTGTGAGAGGTCTTTTTTATATTTGAAACTTACGTTTGCAGGTTTTACACATGTATATAACCTTGTCTAATAAGCACAGACACCAAAATTGACAAAGCTTATCTGGAGGTCTGTCCATTAATGTAATGGTTCCTCCAACGTGTGTTAAAGGTTGTGACATGGTTCCATATTGTAATGTAACAATGCCTTGAATACATTCTGCCAATACCACTCAAAGTAACACTCTGCTTTTTCCTCATTAACCTGAATGAGCTGGCAGATATAGAATTGCCTCTTTGAGGAAGGCCAGTGGCCCCTTTCAGCAACCCCTCCTTTGGATGTGCAAATTATGATGGAGCCGTTGTTCAAGTTATGATGGAGCCTGTTAGCACTAAGTATTGCATGAAGCAGGGTGAATTCAAACACAGATTTCAATTTAAATAGTTGTGCATCAATAGACATTCCGTGCTTTTGTAACTTTTGGAATGCCCATGTTGTGAAATGTTTTTTAGTGCATTGGTTAGCACAGTTTTTTCTGCTAACCGTTAAACAGCTAAATGCAGAGAAATCATGCTATTTAAAAGCCATTCAGTGTAGTAAGTTCTGTCAGTCGAGTCCAGTGATGTAGTCAAGTACTTTTTGA